AACTCGCATGGGTAAACAGACCTTGGAGGAATAAAAATGGATCATACAACCAAGGTCGCTGGTTGGGAAGTGGGGACGTATTAAGAATATGACTTGTTTTAAATGTGTTGCGAATATCTGGAAACTAGTCGGAAGTTTTAAGAGTCGCCTTCCTTTGCATCCGGCTCGCCTGATGGCGCTTCACACATGGATTGTTCGCTGGAGTATCTAGCAGATCTTGTCAAGGAGAAAAAAGATCTAGAGATGTTTGTGGATAACTTTCAACACGTTGAACGTCTCCTTAATGAGGGTTCGTCCAAGATTAATATATCGTATAAAACCAAATAAGAAAAGGGCATAGCGCGTCGACACTGCGAATTGTCGTGATTGTAACTATTTCGAAGCCTGAATTATTTGACTAGGCATTCAAATATAGGATTTGGTCAGAATCAGAGAACCCGTGGAAAGGAATGAATACGAAATGGTCCAGGAGAGACAAATCGCCGTTCATCCTGAAAAACAGGAGGCAGATGGGCCGGACCAATAAGTACTCAGTACTTTTCACCGACTCCATCAGCAGCGGAAACATGCACAGCGATCGTGCACGAAACGCTAGAGTTGGACAATACATTCACATGGGCGCGACTGCACTGTTAGGGTATACGGCATGTAGGAGGACACAACAACTGTCTTTTTGAGAGTAAATGGACTATGCACTTCCAGACATGCCACTTGTGCGCGTCGTCACGGTGCACTTGCTTTTGCTACGGGATCCTGTAGCGTGTCTCCACAGCGAAAACCATGAACTGTTAGTGGCGTCGCCGCGCTATGACTTCCTGTTACCTAGAGAAAAGCTGAATTGCGTTCGAGATTTTCGGACCTTTCACTTGAAGATAACTAGAGCAATATGCACATAATCGTCAGGGATCATCTGAACCATACTGGCATTCTGAGCAATTGAGGTGACTTTTCGATCCTGCCCGCATGAGGTATTGCGCGAATTGTGGTTCTATTCCAGTAAGGATTCGTGGAGTGATGTTATAGTTCGTGCCACCTACAGTAATCCCAATTTTTGCTGGGAAGGAAATTTCGAGATGCGGTAAATTCCTTTCTACTTTCACACCCACCCTTTTGCTCTCGCTCTCTTGAATGTGCTCCAGAACGTCAAGTCAGAGAACCCTCAAAAAAAGTTGGATACATACCAATCTGGAAAAGAGGAGATCTTTCGAGAGATAGTTTGGTTTCATTAAATTGTCGAAAGGCGGATCAAAGCTGTAGGTCTTCGAGAAAGATGCACATTTACGCTGCCCATAGATCTGTCGACTAGGAGAAAACTAAGAGTTTTGGAAAAAATAAAATATATGAGTCCATCGAGAGCGGCGAAAGAAAAGCGTTAGTGGGACGTCCAACATGGCCGAAGAGGATAGTAGATAATATCGCAAGGGAAAATGGGAGAATCGCAGGGTTGTTTCCGCCAACTTTGGATGCTTCCATCGCTGAAGTCAGGTTCTGCAAATCCAGCGAACCATGGGTACAAAGGTTGCATCAGCAGATTGAACGATGTATCAGCGGTTCAAGCGATGTACCGTCGACTCGACAGTGTGGGAAAATGAATAGAGTTTCTTTCGTGCGCACGTTCACTCGTAACCTTCCAGAGCTCGAGGGCATGAGAGCAAGAGGCGGCAAGTGAAAACTGTTATGAGGGCGGGACTGTCGCTTCCCCATACTGTCAAGTTCGTTGTAGCATCTGTTCAAACGACTGTAAGTGTCGGACGCCTGGCGTCATGCTTTCGCACACAGAACATTGCCTTAAAGCAACAGTTCAGGGAGGGTCCGAAAATTTCAATGCCACTACTACTGAGGGATACACGAGCCCTAGTGAAGAACATATGCAGTGGAAATAATAAACGAACTTACCTCAGAAACTCAAAAACAGGGTGGAAAGTCCCTCAAACATGGGTGTTCTTGGGGATTTCCCCAATCCCGCCCCCTTGCCGGCCGTCATTGGACGCGTCGGCAATCGTGCTCGTGTTGGGACCACAAGGAAAATTGATTGAAAAATGGAGCGCGTTTTACAGCGGGCACGTTCAGACAACTCGTCCAACGTGCGTCTTTATCCATTGCTGAGCGGCAGAGGTGAGTGACCTTGTCTTATAGACCGTCTCGGGGAGCCAAGCTTTTTCTTTCCCGAGTTTTAATAATTTAATCGTTCTGGTTTGCATCTAATCGCGATCCATTATTGATGGTTTTTTCCCGGAAACCTTCCTGAGACTGTTGCCTTAATCGCAGGTAAGAAAGGAACGGTCAAAGATGCGACAAGTAGTGGAGTCCACCGCACATCGAACCGACTTGTTCGCCGATTTTCCAATGGTTCGCTTGGCTGTTTCTAATACATCCGATAGACTGGTATGACAGTATTTACAAAAAATCCCCTACTATGCAAGGTCGCTGGCCGTAGATAAATCCTAACCCTTTGCGCCGGGTTCTCTCATGCAATTCCTATTTCTCTTTCCGTTAATCTCCGATCTCCGTGGTCCCATATTGTGAAAAGTCATAATCATAACAATTTTTTTTCCGTTCTGACTTGGCGAATCGGTAGTGGGTGTTGATGCCGCCTGATAGACTTATGTTCGCGATACGTTCATGCGAGGGAAATGGAAATTTATGGAGAACAGCGTGAGGAATTTGATAAACTCTGCGTAAGCATCTCAAGCACGAGGGTTTATGGATATTGAGATTTCTGAGCAGTGTTGTCACTAGGCAGCTTTACTCACTTTATACTCAGGAACAAATGAAATTGAATGAAATTGTGCAATTCGGTACTTAAGTGTCGTTGTTTCAGAACTGAAAACGGGGCTTATCATAGGTAATTACGTTTAAGGAGCTGAGATTGAAAGTTGATGTGCGCGGAGCGCTGTTTCAAACAGAATTTGTCACCGAACCTTTCGATTTGCCAGAGCCTATCGGAGATGTAGTTACTATCACAGAGAAAATCTATGTTCCCAAAAGAGAATATCCAGATGTAAGTTCCAAAGACGTCTACAATCATGGGCTATGAAACGTGTCATCACTTGGGAAGATTGAACTAATTTTTCAGTATAACTTCGTTGGTCGGATTCTTGGACCCCGTGGTATGACTGCGAAACAACTGGAGCAAGAAACTGGTTGCAAAATTATGGTTAGAGGCAAAGGATCGATGCGTGATAAACGAAAGGTTTTGGACATATATGAAGACGCGGTCCATGAAAGGATAGGTTGTTAACGGAAATAATTAAGGAGGAAGCAAACCGAGGTAAACCGAACTGGGAACACCTGGACGATGAACTGCATGTGCTCTTACAGTGTGAAGACACCGAGAACAGAGCGAGAATAAAGCTGCGCGCGGCTATGGACCATGTGAAGAAACTCCTTGTTCCGGCGGTAAGTAATGTTAAAAAGTTACATTGAAAATAGTGGATATATCTCGCGTATGTCATTTTCGGCATGCAAACATGTTCCCGCCTTTCTTTCGTTGCATTTGCCTAATTTCAGCCTGAGGGAACAGACGAACTCAAAAGAAAGCAGCTCATGGAGTTAGCCATTATAAATGGAACCTACAGACCTTTTCACAAATCTGGACTATGTAAAATTTCACTTCTGTTTAGTAACAGCTGACATAGTAATAAATTCCGTTTCAGCCAACTCGAATAGAATCATAACCCCTGTACCGCTCGTCTCTCCTATCCGCGCTCCTATTTTCGTTTCACCTACAAGCAGTCCTAACAATGGAGTGGTACAGGTAGATGGTAGATCGAGAAGGACGTTTTAACTTGTGAAGATAGGATTTGATATTTTCATTTGTAGCTTTCCTTTTACAAAAATATGTCCCTTGCAGAAACCTTCGAATCCAGGATATATTGGAGCAAACTCACAGCAGCCGTTTGACTACTCTTCATTCATGAAGTGAGTTTGGTACTATCTTCCTCCATTTAGACCAAAGTGATCTCGTCATGAAGTGAGTTTGGTACTATCTTCCTCCATTTAGACCAAAGTGATCTCGTCAACCAGAAGAAACAACTTGTTGCTCTCATCAGAGAGAATGGATTTTGATGTATTAACTTTCCCTCATCTTCTATTTTCTCGTTAGGAAACTGATCTTTGTTGGAACAAACCAGAAAAGCTTGAGATTTACACTTCAACGATTTCAGTTCGAATTTCCTCGAGTCTGCACTGGCATCTTTTCAAATTGCTAACGAGCTGCATCTCCCTACATTTCCAACGGCCACCTCATTAGTAAACTCCTTCCCATCGCTTTTTATGAACACAAATTCTGCAAATTCCGTTACCACACAGGATACTTCTACTTCAGCTCCAGCTCTCAGCCCAACCAAGTGTTTCTGATCATATAACTCTAGTTTTGCCGTTTTCACGCACATCTTGAGACTTATATTTGGAATCTATTCACCGCACTGGATTATGACTTGTACCGTTAGTAATTACTCATCATGATGTCGCGGCAGACGCTGGACTGCTTCGGCACCATGATGTCGTAAACTCGTTTCGAATTTATCGTCATCTGAGATTCTCACGCAGTAATACACCTCACATGTTTAACTTTGTTCAGAATGTTTCCTTCGTTTTTAATATTCTTTTGTCGCAGATGTAACTTACGTCTTTACGAAGTTCCCTGCCGCTTGACCTTCCTTGTGAATGCTTGTTATTTCGTTCCTGTTACTGTTCATATTTTTTCAAAGTTTGGTTGTGTTCTTTGTTTGTTGTTTTTATCCTTTCATTGACCTCTGGTCGTTTCAAGGCGTCAGCACTTCAGCTTTGTTGGTGTTGACAAATGTGGTGGATGCCGTTCTTGTCAATTATAGCAGCCTTTCAGCGGTTTTGATAGCCCTGAAAGGATCTGTTTCGAAGGAAGGCATAGTTCTCCACCACTGTGAGCTTTGTAAGTTATTGAAGAACTGTAAATCGCCAATAGAGGTGCCATTTCTCCAAGGTTAATGAAATGGTTTTTTTAAGGAATTCTTTGCATAACAGACCATTGTTAACTCTCAACAGTTCAATTATTCAAGAAAATCACACCAATGATTGAAGAGGCAGGACCCGCCTTGAATCTAAAATCTGTGCTTCCTCTTCTCAACTGGCGCACTGAGTGGGCCTCAACACTAGGCGGCTCTTTAGTCCCATAATATGTCGCGTTGTGATATCCTTTACGTTACAGCGTAGCGTCCACATCCCTAGCAGATCTCGAGTCTCTCAGTTGATACTGGTACACAGGCAGCCTAGAGAACTGAGAAATTTGAAACTTCATCGCTAGGCATAAGTAGCGCGGGTTTTTCTTTTCCGCTTTTTCTCCGTTTTTTCCAAGGAGCGCCACCTGACTGATCGTTTTGTACTCCTACTGACTAGTAAAAGGACGCCATTCGTTACGGGTCCCACTGCCTCCTGCTACAGTGAACCCTTCAATGTGGAGCGGGGAATCCGTGAGCCAGGGGCAGTGTAGCCAGTCTAGGGGGTGGGGGGTGAGGGCAGTCACTTGACATGCGTGAGAAGCTGGAATATTCGAATCCAACCGCGATCGCTTGGGATCCCCGCGGGTTAAGGCAGTGGGTCCCGCGACGAATGGCGTTCCCTATCTATATATAGGAGACAAAATGATGCACTCCGCACACTTCTCGATAGAGAAAACAAATGTTGTTTACGTCTTCAAGTCCCTTTTCATGAACCTGTGAACAAATTCGAACCAAATTGCAATATTTCTATCAGACTATTTATATCCCTCACCATCACCAAATAAATTAATTTTGACATTTGAACTGAGCAAATAAGACAATGATATGTTATTTCTGAAAGCGAAGTTGTACTTCTCATTAGCCTATACAATTTTTACAGTACTACCTTTTTTCCATCGAAATCCGTAGATTATACCTTCATCGAGAGCAAGGACAGGGAAATGATGATAACCTTTCGTTGGAAATGATGAGCCGCGTGATCCAAGAATAATGCTCTTGCCAGATGGTCGGAAAAAGTCTATATCCGTGTGAGAAGCTTCCTGTAAAACGGCAGCAAATACGCACAGAGTAAAAGGGGAACTTCGGAAAAGAGTCAGCAGATATCAAACAGACATACACACATGAAATAGACACGCTAACAGTCAAGTGCACGTGTGCACCGTTGGGATTTCTGAAACGCACAATGAGAATCGAGAGAAAAGGTAAAACTTATCAAACAAAATTATCTAGGGATTCCAGCTATATTCGAAGGAAGCTGGTCATTGATGCCATTCAGGTACTCAATTAAAACTCCATGGGAGGGTTTCCCATCCAGCACTCAAACGTGTGTATAGGAATGGACACGGTAGGGTGCTTTCTTCGATAAATGTAGAGGAGGAACTTCAACTGCAATACGCCCCTTGTAAGCTTTTGAAGGCGGCTGCCCGCCGAATACTGACAGATGTCTGCTACTTTGCACGTATTACCAGCATGAGAAACACTCGGTGAGACCTTCGCTACAGTGGACGACGCTTGAGTGAAATCGCCTTCATTTCGCGTGCAGACAACCAGCGACAAACAGAAGTATCAAAAGTGGACAGGGCCTGTCATCTTACTGGCAGCTCGACAAAGGCGGCCCTGTTGTAGGAAGGAGTGGAGACTACGCATAGCAGAAATTGGTGTTGCTGACAACAAATGATGAAATCAGTTTGGTATTTTCAGCTCTAAATAAATTAAACAGAAATCTAAGATCTACCGTCGTCCGACCAGTCGCCATTTACGGAGCAGAGTGCTGGCCCGTGACTAAAGAGGTTGAGGCTCGTCTCAGTGTAATGGAGACAAAAATGCTGCGCTGGACTGCCGGGGTCACGCGTTTGGACCACATTCGCAACGATACCATCAGAAAGCGGTTCGGTGTGGCTCCCATCGCTGATAAGATGCGCGAAGCTCGCCTGAGGTGGTACGGTCACGTCCTTCGCGCTAATGATGAGAGTGTCCGTAAGATCGGTCTAGACTTTAACGTGCCAGGAAAGCGGCCAAGAGGACGCCCGAAGCAACGATGGCTTGATACGTTGCATGAGGATTTGAAATTAGTTGGCCTTCACCCCGATCAGGCACATAGATCGGGAAAAGTGGCGTCGTGAAAAGTATCGCTTTGATTACACAGCCCTGTCGAATGCAGTCTCGACTGATGTTTCGCTTCTGGCTCAGGAAAGCGGACCCGCCACAGGATGGTGCATGTCGCGGTTCGCGACGACGGTCGTGGGCGCACCGCGCGCCCGGCCCCCTGTCGCGCCGTTGGTCGCTTGGCGGCGCACGCACCGGCGAGAGGCGCGTGCTCCGCCTCCGGCCACGCCTCCAGCCGAGGCCTATATAAAGGGTCGCCTCTGCCAGTCGGCGCTCTTCGTCTCCTCCGGGAGAGACGGTCGTCGGGCAACGCGAGGAAGGCGAACGGCTAGGGGTGCCTGCTAGCACCCGTCAGCATGTTCGGGCATGCTCGTAATGCTGTCTTTAAATACCGATTTCGCTATCTAGTATTCCGAGTGCTGGTGAGCGTTATGTCCCTGTTAGTTCCGGCCCCGCGGACAACTATCGTGCTGCAGCGACGTGTTAACCGAGCTGTACCTAGCTAACGTTCGACGAACGACACTAACACCATCGTATGCCGGAGCTTCTCCCACTCGCAGGCCAGTTCAGTTGTAAGATCGTCAAAAGGATGTTTATCGCTCAAGAAACTATGATCCCAACATGTGTAGTTAGTATGTGTGACTAAGTATAAACATGCACCGGGTCAGCTAGGGAGCGCCGGGCAGGGGCCCCGATTATGGCAGCCCCAGGTCATCATGTGCGTGCGCTAAGTGGGTTGTTACTCACTGGGGCATGGCCCAGTATCCCAGCATCCTGGGTTAGGCACTGTAGGGCCCCGTTTGCGGCACGCGATAGGCGTGTATAGAGGAAGAAGTGGTGCGCCGGAAGGACCGTGGAACGAGCGTGTGCCTGGAAGCACGGGGGACCCTGAACCACCGCGACTCGCGTCCGTATTGAAGGTTGAGGTGGCAACGCGCTCGCGAACCCGGCATCAGACAACGCTAAGAATAAGAAGAAGAAGTTTGATATTTTCAGCAGGCAACAATTCGCTGAGAACGACCCTCTCAAACGGCAACTAAATTAATAATTGAATTAACGCATGGAGGTTTACAGTGTTTGCTTCGCCTTGGCCACAAAATAACCGAGGCGGTACAAATATTAGCGAAGCTTTTGGGTAAGGCTCTACCAGCTATGCCATTACCAAACAGTAGATTGAAAAATCAAAGACAGTTGAATCTTCTCTGAACGACGATAAAAGAGTCGGGCGACTGATGAAAGCCGATGAGTCGCGATTGCTTCGGCTCATTGAAAGGGCCATATAAGAAAGCTTCGAGATATTGTGGCCACTCCAAGATCTCTATTATAGGCGCCAATCCTTGAAAAGGGTAGGCAAGGTATATCAAAACGCTCGCTGGATTTCACATGCGCTGACAGCCGAAGATTAGAAAAGGGTGTGGACCCGTCACATCTCTCTTGTTCTTGACGCTTCACATATCGTATGAAACGGTCATAGCCGACAAGCGTACTCTTTCATGCGATTTCACACGTGAAAGCTGCTGCGTGCATAACACGTGATTCACGCAGGCGTAGAATGTATTAGAAACTTGAGCTGGATTTTCGCAAACAGGATTATCCAGATACTCAAATAATTCTCAAAGACCGAACCGTCGTTGATGGATCCTCGGGTTCAAATGTTTCTGTCGTGTCATCCATCTTCGAATTTGATTTCTGTACTGAAGTTAACCATTCTAGTTTCCTGAAGAGATGCTAAGGAAGCAGTACAGGGATCTAGCAAATGTTTCATAACGGGAAACTGGGTACCTCGTTAGTGCATCGATCTCACCAGCTAGTTGTTTCTTTTCCGTCTCAATCTTTTCAACCATATTTAAAAGTCGATCTTCTAGCTCTTCATTCCGATTCTTTTGATGTTGAAACTGCTCCTCTAGTAAAGCGTACTTTGTGCGCCAGTATTCGATATCTGCATCGCCCATGGATCCTGAACCCTGAACATTAAGAAGCTATGAAAATGTCCCTGCAACGGTTAAAGTGCTGTAAGTTAAAGCTTTCAATAAAATTATTTAGCACACACAGCACATTATCACACGAAGAGTAGGGGAAAGCCTCGCGTAGCGATATTTTTTCTGAGGGCAGCAGGTGGTCAATCAACCTCACTAGTCCCACTATTTTAGTAATAAGAAGTCCTGAAAAACACATCCAGAGCGCATTTTTCTCCAAACATATGTTCCCTAGATCTTCAAAAGCGAATTGGAAGTAACTCTTTGGATTCCTCCTACCGTGAACCTCGAGTGAAAGATCGAGCATTCCTTTTTCCCCACGAAAAAATTCTCTGGTTGGAATTCTACCAATCTGTAAATTTGTGAGTTCCCCGGTCTTCATGCTCAGTAACTCAGTAGATGCAAAACACTTCAGATTCTCATCTTTTATAAGTGACTAAAAGGTAGTAGTTTAAGGGGCGTACACAGAGGAATTATATGCGTCACTGACGGAGCCAGGTGGCAAACGAAGCCAAGTGTGGCGTTCTTGCAGCAAGCAGTGAACAATTTGAATGCGCTTTGGCCTTCGTTTCCAACTGTTGAGCGTTTCGATAACTTATGTGTCGAAGAAGAGTAAATGTGCCTACTATAAAGAAATTCTGTGCCCCACGGGAGCAAAATGTGGCGCTCCTACGGGCAGTGTGCTCACCCTGCCCCTAACGAGGTCTTCACCGTTCCTTCCCACGCCTCATCCCTCTGTTCACCCACAAATTGGCCACCCCAGCTGCTTGTCCTTCGCCGTCGAATTCTAGCTATTTCAGCGGAGGCAGAGTGGAACGTTCACTTTGATTACGTCAGCTTTGATGTGACTCGCCAAAGAGCAAACCGGCAATAGAAACAAGTATCCCTCTTTGCAGATTTCAGGCCATTTCCTAGCGTGGAAGTATCATAGCTTCTGGTAGTAGAAATGAACGACGACGAAAACAACGAAAAATGACGAGACGCCAGGCGCGCTGCACAAGAAAATTGACACGAAAACTCGAACCATAGAGGC